GGCTGGGCAGGCGCCGCCCGGGGCGGGCCAGTGCTGCGCTCAGGTGCCCGAGGACGGGCCCGGCCAGGCGCGGGCCGCAGCCTGTCACGCGTGGGCTGCGGGCGGCGCTGGCGGGGTGGGCCTGTGAGGGCGGGCAGGGGAGCGGTGTGCGAGCTGCTCTGGCTGTAGCTAGCCAAGGCTGCCTCGCTTCTGAGCTGTCGCCAGCAGAGGCTCTGGGCTGCGGGACGCGTCGCTAGCTTCAGCCTCCGCGGGGGCATGTACCTGGTTGTGGTCGTTCTGCCAGCTGCGGTAAGGTGGCTCGCCTGGCTTCTTATTCCCCTCGTGTGCGGTTCCTCTTGGCTTTCCATGTAGACAGCTGGCTGTAAGCACAGTGCTGGTCACCATCTCACTTCAGGGTTGCTTCCTGACTGGAATATTCTAGACAAGATCCTTTGTCATCCTGTCGTCTACAAATACAGTGCTGACATGAGTCCTTCGAGTTAGTGTTTCATGAGCCTCTCTTGGGTCATATTTACTGTAGTCTTAGTGCCTTTTGCAGATAAAAACATTCTTTATTTTATCAGGTAACAGGAATCAGTTCTGGATTTCCATATAGAGAAACATCTGGATTACAGTCATGGCTTCAAGACAACCAGATATTCCTGGTAAAACTAATTCTTTCCAGTAAATTTTAGTCCAATCACCTACGGGATTGTTAATTGTGAGAAGACATGGTTTTATTTAGGCCTCTAGTCTGGATCAGGTGTATAGCCTGGTTAGGATATTATTCGATGCTAGTGTGTCAGCTTTTAAATAGTGCCACTGTATCCGTGCTCCTGCCAGTGAATTATTTATATTGTATCAGGGCCTACAAACACATCTGAAAGACTGTATCCTGAAGACCTTGGGGTCTAAAACAGTGGTTCTCAACCTATTTACCATTGTGGGCTCCATATGCAACTCTCTGTGTTATGTGGGCCACAGCCACACAATGTCTATACTACCTGTGTGGCCCTGAGGATGTCGTTTGGACTGTAGCTGTGGGTTGAGAACCACTGATTTAAACTATTCTAGTTAGTGATTGCCTCAGCCATGACACTGCTGATAGACAGTCACATGACTGCTTTTGTCAGAGTTGGCTGCTGTTAATATGACCGGACAGTTAATTAGCAAAGTCTAGAGAATTTGTCATACTCCTGCTATGCAGAAGAGGGTATGAAAGATGGAGTGGGGAGGTGTTCAGGAGTGATGCCCTCCCTAGTATGTGCCTTGTGTGCTCTCCAGGCTGGGGTATCTAGGTCTGGTGCAGCCTCCTTCTCACCCCACAGGTGCTAGAACTTGTATTCAGTGCTTTCCATAGACCCTGCTAGGGGCCCTATCTCTTAAAGCCATCCAGAGACTGATGTTAATGTTCCTCCCCCGCCCCCTGTTTAATCAGGGGAAACTTGTGAGTAGATTTGTTGAGACCTGACAAAGTGTTGCATGTTTTCTCTTCACCTGAGGGTCTGAAAATAGCTGCTTGATTGTTTGGCACTAATTTACCTGATCACATAACTAGGTCTTGTAAGAATGCATGCTACTTGCAAACTCTCTCTTTTGGTAGAACAACCTTCCAAAATATGTAAATAAATTCAAATTCGGAACTTCAGCAGTGCTGTTGGATTGCACAAATAAACTCCTAACTGTAGGACCACTTTAGAACTATTACTGGTTTAGCCATATACAAAGTTGTCAGTCTTTAATCTCTCAACTCCTGCATTGTTTAGAAAATTGCGCTGCTTTTCCTCCCAAATCAGACTCAGTGCTCCTGTTCAATGGCAGTCTTACCACATAGATTTTCTTTAGTCATTGGTGAACTTTGCGTTTTAGCCCACAATATATGCAACTGCTTAACAGATTGCTACTTAGAGTGATGTTGCTCGAAGTACTGCTGTTAACTGTGACTGACAGATGTGAAGCAGTACTTTGTGATTAAAGTGTCCTATCTAAGCTGATAGTTGGAGTGAGTCTAGTAAAACAAAACAGCTCCTAGAATTTTGCAAAGGCTGCATAATTCTGACTAGTGTTTCTTACAAAGGGGTCTTAATAGATTTTAAAGAATCGGTGTTCTTAACCAGTACAGAGATAATCCAGTTTGATGTGTCCAAGATGCATCCCACTGTGAAAGCTGCCATCTTTGTTCTTAGCTATTGAGCATGGCTCTGGAGGGCTTCTAGGAAAGATGTCCCTGCCTATTGGAATGCATCGTCGGGCATTCAGTTATGATGATGCCCTGGAGGATACAGCACCGATGACTCCTCCTCCTTCAGATATGTGCTCCAATGTCCTGTGGAAACAACCGGTCATCCCAGAGCGCAAGTACCAGGAGCTTTCAAAGGTAGGCACTCTAGAATGGGTGAGGAGATGGCAGGGAGGTATCTGCTGGATTCTAATTGGATGAAAACCAGGAACTCTTCTGGATTAAGCAAGAGACTACTACTTTAATTTGACCTGCAGAGGTGGATCAAAACTGGGAGTGTTTTGATCAAGGACAATTTCCTGATTGATATTAGAAATGTAGTTCTTGTGCAGCTTGTGAGTCTGACTGGAGGGGTAGATAAATATCACAAGAGTGAAAGCTAACCAATTGAGAAGGAGGGACCTTTAGTCAGAGTGCTATGCAGAATCTTGGCCAACATTGACTTAACACTAAGGACTAACACAGACCTCCTTTCTCTAAAATGTCAACTTCAACAAGCCTCCCCCTTAAACTCCATACATATCTTCTGAAACCTCCAGCAAAGCCAGAGCTGACATTCCTGCCCCCCCACTCCTTTTCTTTGGGTGCTGGTAGGGAAATAACTTTTTCAGGCTTTCTTTTTTCAGAAAGAAACACAGGCATAACTCCAATTGCTTACATGTTTTTAAAGGCAACCTGCAACCTCTGAAGAGTATGAGTATGTCCTCTGTGATTCTGTCCACTTAAGCAAATGCATAGTGTCTGTTCATTCTATGGTTGTCTAAATGAGAAACTTGCGTGGGTGTTAAGGTGTGAATTTAAACGAATACAGTTAAATCAGTGCAAAAGGCATGTGGCCGCTCTTTGGGTATAAGAGCAGCTTATTTGGTTAGCTAGCTCTATTAGGATCAGGTTTAATTAAACTGAAGCAAGTCACACTTGTACTGAAATACGTGTCCATACAGTCTTTTGAATCGGCTTAAGCTGGTTTTTATTCTACCAGTGGAACTTCCTTGTGAAGAGAAGTCTTGGGTTGGAGCATGGCGTAAAGAAGCAGTGCCCAGCACTGAGAAGAGTAGTACCCTCTGTTCAAGCTGCAAGTGTTGTTTGTCAGTTCCAAAGGTGCTCTCACGTTATAAAGTAACAAATTAGAATCCAGCAGACACAATCCCCAGAGTCTAGTTAAGAATGGCAAAACTTTGGGTTTAAGCTACTTGATTAAGTTTAGAATGTCTTAAAACCAGTATAAAATATTGGTGTAGGGTCTAGAGTAATAACATTAAACTTTGAGCTCTGTGACTTGTATATGGGTCTGATCTCTCTAACCAGGATGCTGGCTAGCAACTTTAGTCCCATCTATCAAAGAATCTCCTTTCATGGAGAGAGACCTGCCACATGGTTTGGTCAGATTGGGCCCCGAGTGGAAAGAGAAGTCGTTGGTTCTGGTTTCCTCCTCAGTGACCTTTACCATTCAGATTAACAACCTTCTGGCTATGAGCCCAGTGCTTTCCAAATCCATGTAAGAATGAATGCCTGTTGTCAATAGATAACAGGGATGTCCTATCATGGAAGGACACTAAAATGTCCATTTCCTTAAGAACATTGAAGTGCCAGTTATGATTAGTCTTAACTCTTAAGCAACACAAGTTGACTTTTTTGCCTGACTGGTTACGTGTTGGTTTAAGCCCTGTTGTGATGAGAATTCAGGGAAGGTGTGTAATGCTCAAGAGGTAACTTTCTCCCCTTTGTCTTAAACTGTACCCCACTTCCTCTGCACAGGTTGAGGAAGGGGAGACTAGCATGTATCCACCTGTCATAATCCCCTCATCGTCCACTGAAAGTGTGAACAAGGTCCCAGTTGTGAAGGCCAAGGCCACTCATATCATCATGAATTCTCTCATTACAAGTAAGAACTCTGATGTATTTGTAATAGGCTACTTAATAGATATGGGAGTGGGGTATGTGCTGAGATCACGTGCAAGGCTACAGTCCATGTGACCAGATTTCATGGCCTAATTCTTCAGCCAGCCTCAAAACCATATAGACCTAACTATGGAATTTGTGTAGGATAAAACCATTTTCGTGCACTTGAGGGGGCCTCACAAGCTTTGCAGGTGCATTAATGGAAAAAATGCAGGAAATGCTGCCCTAAATCAAGTGCTGGATGAATAAATCTGAAACGTTGTAAACTTTCTTTCTAATGTTGGAACTGGGTTGGTGATGGAGGTGTGGCGAAATTGGTTTTTTACAATTAATGTCTGCTGCAGTGTTTTATAAATAGTCTTATTTTTGTTACAAGGATCATGAGAGCAGGTGCTGCCAGCTGTCACTTGTTTGCTTATTAGCTCATTCTGTTTAACCAGTAAGTGTGATTTTTAAATTGGACCAGAGCAAAGGGGATGATTGACCCATCAAGCTAATAGAGTACTTAAGTATAACTCATTGGCTTCATGTATTCATTGTCAGCAGTGTAGCTGTCCTGAACATTACAAGAACTTTGTGCTGTTAACAATAAGGCTTTAGAATGAGTGGGTCTGTAGTGCAGCAAGATCTGCTTGCTCCTTATGGGTAGATGCTAACCACTAGGATGTAACTTCGTCACTGGATCTTACTTTATTGCTGCCTGGCTACCTAAAGCTCAAACTTTAATATTCAAGCAATACTTCTAGCCCTGTTGGGTTTGTCTTAGCCGAGTGTTCTGGAAGTTCACAAAGAGCATGTTGTAGTTGTCTTTGAAGCTCTTTTCTAGAAAGCTGGCAGACCTGAGCATCTTGCTAAAAGCAAGTCTTACAAAAAAGTCAGCAGCGAGGAACCTCGTTCTGGCTGAAGTGTAGTTCTGTACGGCTTTAATGACGGACGAGCATTCGGTAGGAAACCATCTAGGTCTCAAAACACAGTTTTTCCATCACTTAAGACTTTACCAGTAGTTATAAATAAAAATTAAAACCTTCAAAAACCACTAACATTTTTGACAAACTTTTCTGAAAGACTGCTGCATTAGCTGTTCAGAACACCTGAGTCTGAAGTAAAGAACTGGCAGCAATACTTGTGTCTATGGAGTTTGGATGCACTGGGATTATTCTAAGTGGTTATCTTAACTACCTGGAGTTTTAGAAATATTCTAATTCAGGAGCAACACTAGCTTTCACCCTTCTGGCTGAGATGCGCTTGTGACAAGCCCTGTGATTTGGGAGCAGTCTTATTGCAGAGTTCCAATTTGTTGTTCTGTTTACTAAGAACCCCAATGACTAACATGTCTTTCTGATCTGTTGAATTAGAAATTGTATCCCTCTAATCTGTTTGTCGCATTCGATCTCTGTGCTGACTCACCACAATGCTAAATTCTGGATAATGGAAACCCCATTTCTCAGTTTCTTGTGCTGCCTTTGCGTTTCCCAGAACTGCATGCAGGCAGCAGTGTTTTTCCTCTGGTTTGTGTGAATGTCTCATCTTGTCTATTCTAGAGCAGACACAGGAGAACATTCAGCGCTTTGAACAGCAGGCAGGGCTGAGAGATGCTGGATACACTCCCCACAAGGGCCTCACTGCTGAGGAGACAAAGTACCACCGTGTGGCTGAGGCACTCCATGTAAGACATTTGTCTCGTACTCTGCTTTGGCTTTCTTGTAGTTTGTGTGCTGCTTTACCTCTGCCTCTGAGGGACTCAAATAGCCCGTAGAGTTCGGGAAGGGCTCATGGAACTGTTTTGGGGCTTACTCTCACTGTTCGTAGCTGTCAGTAGAACTCTGTATTGGTAACAATGCCTGGATTTTTCTATTTAAATAGCCTGTCTCGGCTTTGTTTCATAGTCATGCATTTCACTAGCTTTGCAATGACTAGGGACAATCTGTGGCTTCCCCAAAATTTAACTCTCAGATTCTAGTAGGTGAGTCTTTAGCATGTAAATAGATGTGACTGTCTGTTACAGTATCACTCAAATCACAATCAATTGTGAATCCTTCTTTTCAGTGGGGGGGAATCCACCCTGAAGATAAATTTGTGAATCTCTGTGGCTAGTGGACCTCTCTGAGGCTGGACATGCCATCCTGCCATGGCACTGCATGTGTTCAAAAGGATGTTAATACTTCTTAAAATACATGAATAAAGCTTCAGGGTGTGAATACAACGATTGCCAATTCTGGCCTTCCCAAATAACTAATTTCTGCTTCCTGTCTTTGTGCAGACTCCTCTGCTACCTCCATTTCTGTTGCTCTCCAGGGCCTGTAAGAGACCAGCTGTCTTCCAGCTCCCCTTCCTCTTAAAGGAGCAGTAACTCAGGGCTGCTCCACTACCTGCCTCTCTCATTCTGCAAACATACAGCTGTTCTAACTACTTGGTTACTTGTTTCCCTGTCCCCTCCAGAAAAGAAGCCAGCAGGTTCCATTCCCCTAGGCAGTCTCTACTTTGTAAGGGAACAGATTATTGGCTTTTTAAATTACTGAGATGCTTGTTAATGTTGAAATGTGCAAAAGATGAGCAGTTTCATCAGCTGAAGTGCATGATTTGCAGAACTCTAAGACTTCTACACAACTCCTTCCTTCAGCAGTTCACTTTAGTAATCTTGAACTTCTCCTGTAATATTTTTCTTCAGATATCATGGGCAAGTAGAGTAGAAAATACTCCCCTCCCCAATGTAGGATTATAGATGTCTGTAGTGATTGATAGTAATTGTGAAGGAGAACTAACTTGGAATGTCATATTCTGCTTCAGTGATGCAGAGCTTGGCAGATGAAGCTTACATAACTGTATAGTCATTCTGGTCTGAATGCATTTCTACTTCTCTTACAAAGCACTGAATTTATTCCTCTCCTGTAGTCTTGGCTTCAGTGTCTTTGACTGTTAGACTGAACTATCAAACTTCATTACACCAGAAGTCAAGAATACAATAGATGTGAGTGCAGCTTTTCTCTGAGAAGTGACTCTTCTCTCCCCCCCCCCCCCAAAAAAAAAACACCCCCCCCTGTGATCTCATTTTCCACTTCCATATAAAACCTGCTCAGCTTACAAATAAAGATACGTTTGCTGCCACGGCAAATCCAAGCTGTCATAGAATCCGATGAGGGGGGAAATTCCTGAATCCCTCTTCAAACCATGACTGCCCTCCACGATCGCTTTGTGCTGTCTGGAAGAACTTGAAATAATCTGGTTGGTGTGTACTGGGTCACTGACATGTCTCCTGTTTGCATAGGCAGGAAAGCATTTAGAACCCTAATGCTGACATGGCTTACAAATATTAAACAAGGAGAACCCATTTAGAGGTAGTAACTCGATAGATGAGTTAAATGCGTGAGGCCGGTGGGTCTTGTGGCACCTAGCCATGACAGTGCTATTAGTGAATATTGCAAGGATACCGATGTTAATAGTTCTCTGGATAAACTAGCTTCACTGCAGATTCAGATTACCTCTTCCTCGTAAATGCCCGTCAAGATACTAACAAAGCACTAACGGAGGGTAGAGTGAATCTAAAGCGTGTATGACTTTGAACTGTTACCACTGGCTGCCTTTAGGCTGGAGTAGATAATTCAAGACCTTATTCCAGAAATGCTCTGGTAGCTAAACTATGACTGTCTGAAATGGGGAGCTCTTACTGTGTTGAATACACTTTAATAGGCACTCTTGCATGCAGACCTTGTAACACACTAAGTTGTAACTCCTGGTATACTAGTCCATCAATTAAAGGGGAAGTGGCATGCTCATGCTGAAACTGGCTATTCTTTACTCTTAACCCTCTTGTTGAAAGGTTTATATTGATTGTTTTCCTCTTGTCCTTTCT